CTGTTGCATGTTGCTGCTGATCTGTTTCATGTTGCTGCTTATCTGTTTCATGTTGCTGCTTATCTGTTGCATGTTGCTGCTGATCTGTTTCATGTTGCTGCTGATCTGTTTCATGTTGCTGTGTTCATTTGTGCTCATCTGCTCACACAGACTCATGTTCGTGCTGCTGTTCGGTGTCATGTTTTTATGCTATTAGTGCTTAGTGTGATGTTTTCCTTAGTTCATATCTTAGATTTTATTAGTTTATCTTTTACATTTTATTGTTGGATGCAACTGGGACCCTGTGTACATAATCTTGTTCCACCACATGTACCACATGAGATGCGAATGACAAATAAATCTCTCTAAATCTCTGAGTCACTGAAAACTAAGTGTCTGCTTAGGGCCCCGGGGCCAAAAGGGGGCCTCCTAAGTGGAAGCACATGTTTTAGGAAGTTTGTGAAGTATTGAGGAAGAAGTAACATAAACAGGTGAAATGTGTGGGTAAAGGTTGTCTAATATTTTAAGTTCAGTTTTTCAAATTGTTGCATATATTAACATAGTTTTAAGAACTAATTACTTAACTTTAAATGTATTTTTTAAACAATTTTAAACTGTGTCAAGTAACTGTTCATTTACACGATTTAAATGTAAATGAAAGAATGCAGAGAATTTTCTTTTATATTTTATTTTATTTTATTTTTGTTTGAGTGTTTTTGCACAAAGTATTTTTATGCATCTAAGTTGTATTATCTGTTGTTTGTCGTTGATTTTGCACTACAAATTATTTTGAACATTACTGTTGATGTTATTTGGATCCAAATATATTAAACCATGACACTGTTGCTGTAAAATACATTGCATACTGGTATTTTTCTTTTGTTACTTTTAGTACCACATATACATATATGACAATGTAAACAGGGTTGTCAGAGTTGCAAATGAGTTTATGTAGGTGGGTGAATGATCTGATCACCTGACTGTTGATTGCAGTAATCCATGTTATCAGCACAAATAGAGGGCCCCAAACCAAGTTTCGCTTAGGGCCCCATGGAGGCTTGGTCCGGCCCTGCGGAGGGCTGTGGTAGCTCGGTGGTCTGTGGTTGCATCATGAAGGGTGTCCTCTATCTGGTGTAAAAATAAGTACCAAGTCTTCATATGACAGTTCACTGTGGTGACCTGTGAAGACACAAGCAGCCAAAAGAAGAAGAAAAAAGTATATAGCACGAATGTCACA